TCCAAAATTTATCATCAATAAAATACGCGATGTCAAAGCCTTTACAAACACAACTAATAAGTATGAGGTCTTGAATATTAGAAATCAATAACTCAAGTTCCTTTGCTCCAAATCTTTTTTTTTCTCAATCATTTTATTTAATTGATCATTGTCGTTTATCTTTGTGATTGTTTTTCTTTTTTTTTTTCAGATTGTTTTTGAAGGTATAACGGAAAATGGTTACCAGGGTGACATTTCTATTGACGACGTTAGTGTCACAGACGGTCCTTGCCCAGTGGACAAGAAAGTTGTGGCAGTTAAAGTCGCCATTAACACAACGTCACTAGTAAGCGAAGAGAGATCACTCTCATCGGCCACCATCAACGAAAGCAAGCCGTTGTCTCCGATTGTCAATGAGATCAAACCGCTTCCACTTGCAGTTAGCGAAATCAAACCACTGCCGACCAAACCACTTCCAACAGTGCAAAGTGAAAACAAAACACGTGGGAAAAAGCACAGAAAGAGTCCCAGACGACATAGTGGAAAATAGAACATTGAAAATACATATGGGAAACTTTGAAGTGACTAGAAAGATTGTTACAAAATTGAGTAGATTTTTTTCAGATGTTTCCAATTTGTTAGTGAAAGTATATTTCCTGTTTTTGTATTATTTATACAACTTTTTACTTTCTTATATTGGGAGGGTTTTCACACTACATTAGTACAATATTATCACAGAAATGTGGTGAACAGTTTTTAAATGAATAAATAAATTAATAATGTCAAGGATGCCATAATGAAAGATCGCTGTTGCGAATCATATAATTTACTTTCTGTTTTAAGCAAAAGAGATTATAAATAAATTTGATTCTTATGCACAAAAGCTAGTATGATTTTTATTAAGGTGGTTTGCTTATCAATACTTTTATATTCAGGACACACCAAAAAGCTTGTCTTTTATAGATTTGCAACCATGTATGACTGACTATATCCAATAGTGCAGTACAGAATATTAGCATTGCGTATAGTTTCTAGCCACAAGTAGATTTATAAAAGTTTTTTTTTAAACCACCGTTCCTCCTTTTTATTTTAAAACTAGAGGAAAATCATACATTTTAAAACGAGGAAAATCATACTAATAAAATATGTTAGTCTGTTAAGGTTAACTAAATTGGAAACCATATTTTATTAGTTCTATATTGCTGTACTTTTAACACTTTGTCAAAAAGCTCATTCATTAAAAACTATAAAAGATACTTTATTACTATAAAGATTTAGTCAAAGGTATTTTGCCCGAAATTTAGATAGTGTGGGGATAAGACTTTTATGCCCTGGCCAGAAATGCATTAATAATTTGCAGCCCTTTAGATGATGCTACTACAAATATTTTTTTTAACTTCCTTAAAATCTGTTTTAAGAGCTAAGTAGTTTTAAGCTCGATAAGCAACATTTGCAAAAATTTAGTCTTACTTATCCACACAAGAAGAACCCTACCAGTGGCCAGATACATACAAAACTAGAAATACAATATTATGCTTACATTTTAATATTTTCTGAAAAATATATGGTTCTGAAATTCAGTTCTTAGATTCTTTAAAAATCTTAATAAATCATTTTTAATCTCTAATTCAGATATCTAAAAGCAATATTCATCACATTTGTGTCATAAAGCTGCACTTCCTAATTATAGACAGAATTAGTTTTCTGTTTTTCTTTAATATTTAAAAAAAAATTCTTTTGGGTCATCTAGGCTCATAGCAAATTATAATTCAGTTATCCACTTCCTTTTTTTTTTTTGTTAAATCAATTTTCTTTTGTAAAAAATGTATATTATTATGACTGTCATGAAAACTTGTCACATTTTATTTGTTTATATTGTATGAATGAAGTATACTTGATTTTGAACACAAAATTTAAAAAACTCACCATGACACAGTGCCTTATTTTATTTCACTATTTGTTATAAATGTTTATTAATTTCAACCTGAATGTGAAAGGTAGAAAGGGAGGCAAATACTATGTAGAGTTCAGACCTTTGTGATTTATAGGGCAGATAATGTAAAGGTCATCTGTTTCAGTGGCCCATGGTTAACAAGGGTGTCATGTGGCCAGAACAATGACAAACTGCCTTTACTTTTCCTCAACTAATGTCAGGTAACCATTAGAGCTGGGTGGACTCAGAGGCATTCAAAGATCTCAAAATTAAAAATCCCATTCTTCACTAGGATTCAAACACGGGACCCCCAGTTTGGAAGCCAAGTACTTTATCACTTGATTAATAATTTTTTATTTTTATTTTTATAAATTATTCTTGTTTATTAATTTTGTTTTTGCACTTAGTTAAAATATGACTTCTAAACCTTTTTTTCTTTTTTTAAAGATAATCTTCTTAAATGGAGCGATTGTGATGGAGTGATTTTTCGTTTTGTTTAATTCAAATCCAATATCTCTAAAATGATGAAAAAAAAGAAGTTAAATTTCTCTTCAGATACTGTAACCAATCTGACAAAGTATGAAACTGGGGTATTAAATAACATAACATACAACACTATTTCTTCATTTTCTGATTTAAAGACAGTGCTTTATTATTGTAAAAAAATTATAAAAAGAATCATGATATTTAACTTCAAACATCAAACTTTTATTGCTATAGAATTTCCTATATACCATTTATGGCTCCTTTTGTCTCGAAAGGCAATGGATGCGCCCAGATGAGTCACTGGTTTTGGTTTAATCTTGAGACGGGACAGCCTATATACCATGCATCTAAATGTTTTAATGCATCACTAATATGAGTATTAACAATCAAAACCAGTTTCTTAAAATCTCTCAGAATATCATTTACTGTATACTTCTTTTGTAATATGTGAATGCAAAAAAATATATGAAGCCTACCTAGAGCTGTTTTCTATAAAAAAAAAAAAAAAAAAAAAGGTTTTCTTATATTGATTTATTTGTAGTACAAATCAAATAGAAGATACTGTATATTTAAAGCCTTGTAGTAGATAAACTTAAAATTAGTAAATTAAAAAAATCAATGACATGTTGACATTATGCCAGAAAATGTTCAATTACCAGTACTTGCCTCTAAGGCTGTTTGTTGTCTGTATAAATATATATTTTTTTTTTGCATAGAAGTAAATGAATGCATTTTCATGTCTTAAAAAGACTAATTAATATTAGAATATATCTTAATATTTTTCCTAACATTTTTAAATATTTTTTTTTTAATGTTTTTATATTTTATTTGTAGGAATTTTTTTGTGTAAATATGATTTCCATCTCTTTGTACACCAAATAACATGAACAAAAGTTGTTTTAACCTTTTTCGTTTTTGTACTGCCAGTTGTTTTAATAGCACTTTTTGTTTTTATATAAAAGTAACTACAAGCATAATGAACGGTTTGCTTGACCTCACCTTGAGTTTTTTTTTTCTTCAATTAAAATGTTTCATGATAACTTAGGAATTTTTCATTTGTGTTCTGCTTTAATTGCCTTTTTTTTTTATTGTATGCTATTTACACATCAAGTGTTGAAATGTTCTAAGATGCACTTCACAACCACACACAATATATATAGATATAGATATAGATAGATTTGGAATTCAAGAAATTGAAGATGCCATTACAGTTTAAAAATATTCATCTAGCTAGTGATTATTATTACAACACAGCGCATATTGTCTAGGTGTAAGGGACAAGCAAGCCAATAGGATAAATGGATCAATTGCAAGTTAAAGGATTGGTGAAGACCACAAACCCACTAGCTTCTAGAGGTGGGTGAAAAGGCCTACAGCACTTGGAATATGTTTGATGTATTGACAATGTTAGAACTGGGCATAACAGATTTTGAATTAACATATTTTTTTAAATAAGTATAAAGTGAGGAAAAAGACTTTAATTAAATGAATTTAAATTTTTAAGTTAGTGAGTTGGAACTATCTGAATTCCACTGTATGTATATACAAAGCCTTATTATTATAGATAGAAAGAAAGATATTTGTATACAAACATCTAAGTGAACCCTCATTTCATTAGTAAAATTATGACAAGATTTCAAAGAAACCACTTCTTGAATCCATGGTGCTATTTATGAAGTTGAATGTCAACTCTTGTACTCCTTGTATCACTTCTTACTTACCTCAACTGATGATGTTATCATCTTTACAATAATGAAATCATGCCTAAGTGGGCCTAATAGTTTTATTTCTTAATTTATGTCATTATATAGGACTACTTATTTCTTTATTAGCAATGTGATGAATGTGAAAATATTGAATAGATTATATTTTGGAAGAGTGTTGATTCATATTATTTGCAGATACAATTCCTTTTTTTTTTCTTCTAAGCTGTTTACTATAGAACTTTTTTTTTAAATTGTAAAGAAATTTTAAGGAAAAAAAATGACCAAAAGTTTTTGTAGTAAATATAGTTTGCATTAACCAATAAACAAAAGTACTAAATAAATGACACTACTTGAAACACAGCTATTTTCATTTTTATATATTGTAAATGTTTTGCTCACAGGACAATGCTAGAAAATCTGATATTGAGATATTTTATTTCCACAGGAGAAGACACTTTTAGATCTTGGGATTCAAGTTGTGTACTTCTGAATGTAAAAAAATCTGTATAAACATGACCTGCCTCTGACTCATTTAGCTATGGGTACATAGAAACTCATTTTAAAAATGACTGTATCAACTCAACACCCTCTGAACATACTTAAGTCTGAAAAAAAATTATTTTTTTTCTCTTAATGAATATAGAAATGCAAAACCTATAGGCTAATCATATCTCTAATATTTGGTCAAATGTCAAAGATGATTTGATGACTTATGTGAATATTACACACTTCTTTAAAAATTATCAAAATTATGGTTTTAACAATAATCCTAAATAGAAAGTTTACTTTTAAGATTTTTAATTTCCTAAAATATACTATTCATTTAGAATTTACTAAATAAGATTCTGAAGTAACTAAGCAAAAAATAAATATAATATCAACTAATAAACATGATTACAAGCTTAAAATAATGTGAACACCAAAGCATATTTAATATATATGGTATAGATAAAAGAAGACAAAAGCAGCACAAAATGTAAAATCAATATAAATACCAAATCTCAGGTAGAAACTTTTTATTTTCATGCAAATGGATATTGTAGTTCACAACACCTCAATGTGATAAGACTGAACACTTTAATAATATGCTGTCAACAGCATCCCATATACTGACATACAAACACATTGAACAAAATGCTGACAACAGCATCACATTTACAGACAGATGAACATCAATGAACAATATGCTGACAACAGCATCACATATACAGACAAACATATTGAACAATATGCTGACAACAGCATCACAATTACAGACAGATGAACATCATTGAACAATGTCAGCACTTACAATCGCTCCACAAACATATTGAAAAACAAAATGCAGTTGTTTTTTTCTACACACAAGAAAGCAACTAGATTTTTAAAAAAATAAATACAACTGGAATAAATGTTAAATTTATGATCTAGACTCTTTTGTCATAAGAATAAATATACAACCAAAAATATGTATAAATAGATAACTCTTTTTTTCAATACATACATCTTCTTAAAAATCTAACTACAAAATTATTTTCTAGCTTCGTGTTCATTTCAAAAATACATGTACCAAATCAACCTCCATTGCTATTCCCAACAGCATCACAACAGGATCAGGAACACAAAGTGTATGGTTAGCAGTAGATGAAGATGGTCACCTAGCCCTTTAGTTTGGTTTTTAAATCAAGGACTTCATATGCCAGCAGCAACTCAACAGCTCACACACACACACATTTCATCTTCAAACACATAAAACTAAATGCTAAATTAATACCTACTATCAATTATAGTTTATGATCTATAATTTATAATGTTTAATAGTTCACTTCTCATACCAAAATAAAATTAATTTTTAAAAATGATAAATAATGAATTTTAATTATGATCAATATATTATATAGATATATAACAGAAAACAGCCTAAAAAACCTAAGAACCATTTAATATTAATGGTCATATTATACACATATTTCGTTATAGAAAACAATGCAGACAGTTTGAAAAAAAAACTATTTTAAAAAAAAAAAGCTTACATTGTCTGGAAGATTATTTCCGGTCATATTAAGGCAAATATGGCTTGGTTACAACATCATCATTATGCATTTCATAGTAAAAAAAAAACAAAAGTTTCAAGCACAAAGTAAGTGATAACAACATGATTAAAACAATATAGTGATATGAGTGCTGTTTTAGTGTCCCAAATATGTTACAGGTCCTACAACTAAATCACTCATACTCTTATCACACATTCTCATTTATCTAAAAATTTACAATCTGAAAGAAGAAATAGAATATTATTAAATATTTTTTTATTAGAAAAAAATAACAAAATAAAATAAATATGAAAAAAAACAAACAGTTGGCACTTGTTAGTTATCATGTGTAACTAAGAACTAAAAAAATGTGACAGACAGCTAAGAACTTCACAGTTGAAGGCAGTAGGCACTGCTGAAAAATAACCTGCAATCCATCATGCTGCACAACATGATTTCTCAAATGTAATAAATAAATAGGAATTTTTAAAAATATTGTAATGCAATAAAATTCAATCTTTAAAAATATATTTTTTTAAATCTTTCATTAAAACATGATGACAACTTTTCTTAGATACAACTGACACCAAATGTTGGAGTATTGAGAGGTCATTGTAAAATAAAAGAGGTTAAAACTAACATCACACTTAACACAAAGTTGAATTGATGTTTATATGAAGGTCGCACACGCTGACTAAAATGATTTGTCTTTCCGTGATTATACTGATATCAATGTACTATCATTGTGAAACTGGATAAGAATGAAAACAAGCAAATAGAAATGAGCAGACTCTTTGCACAAACAAAAAAAGTGAGGTCGATGTACAAATAAATGTGAACTTTTAGCTTGAGCTCTAGTCTGGAAAGACAAGGGAAAAAACTTTATTTTCCACTTGAACATACTTAGTGTACTCACTTAACATCTTTTGAATGATAGAACATTTTTCTCTATCTGCACAATAAACAAAAAAAAATTATATTAATACTACGTAATTGTTTGCACAAATTAATTAATATAAACTAATATTGTTTTAAATAAGGATATAGTAAATTAGACAGATTTTCACATTTTTATAGGCCAAGCACTTTTTAACTAAATATACAAATTCTTTTTTTTTTTTTATGTTATAGATATAAATGTGTCAGTAAATCTCCTATGCTTAAAAGTTTAAATTCTTTAGGAGGACCAAAAGCATATGATTTTGTGGAATGTTTATGACATTGAATAAATGAAAATGTTTTTTGAATTTTGACAGATGACTGCTTTTCATTTTCTGCTACTTATCTTGCTAAGATGTAGATGCTTAATAAAACCTTTTCCTGGAATTCTCTTGCTGCTTCTGAAATATAATGAGTCCAACCATGACACATACACCAGTACCAATCACAAGAAGAAGGATGATGACCAAAAGCTTCCATCCAGTAAGGTTTTCTAGTAAGTAAGATCCCTTGGAGTCATCTATTCTATCTGATTATAAGAAAATAAATTCCTTGTATTTTAAAAAATGGTAATATATAATCATTAATAATTAGTAAAGTTAATTATTAAGTAATGATTAAATTACTTTGATGACACATTTTTAAAATGTTTCTCTTAATACACAAAAAATTAAATAAATATTATTAATTGACATTCTCACAAAAAAAAAAGAACAAGACCAAGAGTTTGTAACCTGAAGTTCAGATTTATTTGTTAACTATAATAAGAGTTCATGTTCATGCAACCGAGATGACTGTGTATTAAAGTCTGATTTGTAAATTGGCCTTGAAAAAACTAAAGCCTATGAAATTTTTAGTTTTAAAAAAAATGATTAATACAAGCGCAAACCATTTAGTTGGGATGTCATCATATTGTTTTGTGTTCACCATTAAATTATTAGTTGGAATTTCCAACAATAACAAACTTTTATTTTTTGTTTACATCTCAACAAATAGCTTTTGAGAAATACAGAAATACAAATTGAGTAGAAAAGCTTTTTAGAGTCATGATTTACCACATTATTATGTAAAGATTAAAACAAAATGACAGTACCATGGCATTATAACAATGTTATTAGTCTATCATCCCTGATAGTCCGTTACAATTGAAAGTATTGTTTTAAAGTATATTTTTTTATACCAATTTAAGATATCTTCAAGAATATCAGAACTTCTGTCAGCTCTATTATATTACTGCACCACTTTTTCATGGAGAAAACTTGACCAATAGATGATTTGCCCAGATAGGTCCAAAGTGCAACCCCTCACTGCAAGGGTTAGAGGAAAAAGGGCAAAAGTCAGGCATGGCTGCCTCCAGCTGCATGAGCTAGGCTTGATCTTTATCAGAGCTATGAAGCATTATGATGAATATCAGAATTTAATTCCCTTCCAAGGCAGCATGGAAATAGCAGTTATGCTTGTTCTGACTCCGATATATAAAATTACCCTTTCTATTAATTTGCCTTATTATTTTTAATTACCTTTAGAATTAAATTTTAACTATTATACTAACACAATTCAAATGTGAGCATTACAAGATACTTATCAATGATATAATGTTAGTTAGGCTAATGTAATGTTAGGCTAGTTTATTTACAAGTTGTGTTTCTTTTTCTACATACCTCTGGGTGCTTCCATGGACTTTGCTTCAGGTAGGCCATAATAGGATGAACTCTTTTTCTAAAACCAAGCAAAAAAAAAAAAAAATTACCTATCAGTGAAACAATGAAAAAAAGATCTTTTGAAGGATTTATAGTTTAGAAGGTGTGTTAGTCATGAATGAACTTTTTTGCACAGTAATCCTTATTATTTTTAGTTGTTTTTTTTAGTAATATAGTAATATCTGGCTAGATTAGTACAGAATAGAGTACTACTTACAGATTCCTCAGTGTCCAAGTCATAAAACTTGATAGAAATGATATCATGATTGTCTAGACAGAAAAGAAAACAAATAGTTAAATGCCTAAAAAATAAACTTGGAATAATCAAAGCTATAACACAACAATTTTAGATTTTTAGCTTTGAATAAGTATACAATTTAGCTTTAAAGGGAAACTCCGATGTTTTTGTCAATTTTTTATATGTGTTTTGATTTACAGATAATGAATATATAATTCTTTTTTTTTTATTTGTAATAATAACTTAGTAATTGATGTTTTTCTGACGTAATTTTCCTGCGCATCCAAAATAATCAGACTTTCACCAGGTTTCTATGTGACATCACACAAACCTATCAATGTAATCTATTGACTTACTGTAACAGAAAACCATACAGTAAAGTTTACATTCTCGTAAAAGAAATATATCTTTGCCTATGGAGTTAGATCTAGATCATGTAAGCAAAGAAAAAATGTGTGTTAATAGTAGATTTACATGCTTGACTAACCACGGCAGTGTGTATTTTCTTGCTGACCACTCAACACAGAACAAACACTATCGCTTGGTTGTCTTGTCGTGACTGACTACACATAGTCTTGACTTACACTGAACAGTTTGTTAGAATAAGACACACGATCTGTTTACTTCTTGGGACAGGGAGGATCTTAGGTGAAAATGTTACTTTTTCTTCTCGAGTTGGTTATCCTATCTATCTAAATATTTAAATAACTGTACCATAGCTATATACTAGGCCGTCACTAAGCCTAACAGCTGCTGTAAGAATGAAGTGATACGATTAGTTAAATCTAGTTTCCCTTTCAGTATAGTTGAGGGAAATAACGCTTGCCTAAGCTAAAAACAAAATCTCAAAGAACCCCGTTTTTCTTTTGAGATGTCAAGAATTTACTGACTAATTTATTAAATATAAATGTTTCTAAGCCTTAAATAAAAAATGGTAAAATGTTTACTATTACAACTTTTTCGCAGAATTTAAATATGTCAATAACTCAAATTTGAAAAACCGATGCGGAGTTTCCCTTTAATGCTGTTTCTTTTTTATGTGTACATATTTTTACTATTGGCTATGCAAGGTTTTTAACCCTGTAATTTGGCCATCTCAGTTGTTCTTCCTTAATCCCTGCAACTGCTTATTCTTCTATTTTCTTTCTCCACTTGCTTTAAGTGGATTGGTAACTTTGTACTCATTTTGATTCATTCAATCCATCTCAAAGACTGTTTCCAAAACATAATTCTACTTTTTTTTATAGATATAACTAGAATTATTCTATTTTTTTATAGATATAACTAGATTTCTATTTTTTTTTTTTTAGAATTGATTGTCATTGGGATAAGTATCTATCCTGTATACTCATCTCACACATACACACACCTTTAAGGATAGAGTAGTATCTTGTAAAACCCTGGACTTTAACCCCTCTATTGTAACAGCCAAGGATAAACACCCATCCATCATGGTACCATTAGAAGGAAACAGCTGAACAAACTGGGTTTTTTAAAATCTTAGACTGTCATGATTACAATGTGGTTAACATAGTCAAGTTTAGCTTGGCTGTCAAATAAGGGTGAGAACATTTGCAATTTTAATTAACTTGAAAATGTTTAATAAAATTTAAAGCTTACCAGCTAAATCACCAGTTGCAGCTGATACACCAAAGAAATAACCCAGAGGCAGCTTGATTCCATTCACAGAAAAGCATTCCTTCCAGCCACTTTTGTTATCTATGTCAGTTGAGACCTGGAATGGTTTTAAAAGTTTATTAAGTTTCATCTAAAAGCAACAGTTAAATAGCTCAGTGTCTGAGTAAAGAGATGTGTGGCCAGTAGTTAATCTTTACACTTTCCCCTAATGATGCGGGCTAAAAATACTGTTAGATGAATTTCAACAATGCTCTCAATGACTTAAACACTCGTACACTTTGTTCAATTTTAATTCCATCCCATTTAGACAGAAATATTCCTAATAACTGTTGAAAGTAATTTAGGTAAACAAATTCTAAATTATTATTTACATTTAGAAAATAGTAGACAATTAATAGGGTGTTTGTTTAATTACATTTCAGGTTTTTCTTCAGAATTGAAGATTATCATATACTAATCCAAATTTTCTTCAGGGCAAGGCTCCTGTAATCATCGAGATGTCAGTCCAAAGGGCATACAACACCACAATGCAGCCATCAATACTAGTCAAAAAAACCTTTACATCTTTAAGGAAAGCTATAAATTTGCCAGAAAAGCTCTGCATGCATACATTTATTTTAATAAAAAGATTAAACATTTCCAAATGACATTATGTTACTTACTGTGAGCTGTTCTGTGTTTCCATCATATCTGACAGCCAAGTAAGTTTCATAATTATTATTTCTAAACTGAGCCTCACAACCAGCCAGTTGAGTGTGTGTGCCATCAGTATCATGATCATATTTTAAACTGCCATTACTAACCATGGCAGAAATATAAGGATGGTTGTGCTGCAAGAGAGGTGAATAAATTGACATAATAAAAATTAGCCCACTAAGGGTGTTTGATTAATGCACATAGCTATAGCCAGTGGCGTCACTAGAAGGTGC